GTGGGCAGGGAAGGGCGCTCCGCCGCTCCTCACCTGCCCGATGCGGTTCTCCCAGCCCATTCTCTTCAACCCAGCAGCAGCCAGGATGATGGCGCTGAAGTCTTCCTTCTCCTCCAGCTTTTTCAGCCGGGTGTTCAGATTCCCTCTCTTGAGAAGCGATTAAGCGATCATAGAAACAGCAGGCAAACATGTCCCGTAACCACGTAACATCCACCCCAGCGCGGTTACAGCCCACACAGAATCCAGCAGCCTCCAAAGGAGCCTCACCCAGAGACCAATCCCAAAGGGATCGGTAGGTACGGACAGTCGTGCCTTTACGCCGAATTCCGCTGAGCACTACGGAGTATTAATTCAAGCACTGACTCTCCCAAGACCCGCGCGGCGTTTAACACCCGGCACCAACTCCCTCCACACAGCGAAGGACCAGGTCGCTAGAATGGAATAGCAGTGCCCGGTACCGCTAGCCCGGCGGCCCACATCCCACCCCGGGTGTCGGGAAGCGGGCACTCGGCTCCACCGCCGCGGGGCAGGCGCCCGTCAAGCCCTTTGTCCGCATCCCTTCAGGTAAAAGGCCACCCGCATCCCGGCCGTTAGGGCTGGCCTCTCCTTTGCAGCCTCCCGAGGAAGCGGAGGCCGGAGTGGGCTACGGGGACGTTCCGCAGCCCCCCTTAACAGGTTAGTGGAGGGCAGCCTTTGAGGAAACGACACGTTCTCGTAGGGCAGGTGGTGTTAAGTCCCGTTTTCCTGTGAGCAGCATTACCCAGCTCCCACCTTCTGCCAGGAAAGGATACAATATCCCTGAATTCTAACTGAGGGAACTTCTTTTTGACCGGGGCGGATCTCCGAGAGCTGGTTCCGATGACACTGTGAGGAAAGCAAAGTCCATGAACTCCAGACCACTCCCAGGTTCCCCCTCCAGCTGGAGGCAAGACCTCTGAAGGAAGCAAACGATGACTCTTTTAAAGCGATGCAAAGATCCAAGAACCTCCCAACGATTTCCATCTCCCAGGGAGGAAGGAAAGCGCTGTCAGGCGTGGCGTAACGCCTGGCTGGAGCCAGACATGGGCAGGTCGCTCCCCAGGAACCCATTTACAGGAGACGCTTCTGGAGCGCCCGGCCAGCGCTGAGGCCCGACGGACCCTCGGTTACAGACCGGCACA